TCTCTTACTCTCAGTAGTTTAAAGCCTCCGGAGGCTTAGTGATAAGTCTGAGAGCTTATAACGCCAAAAATTTCGATACCCGCATTTAGCCTATTGCGTAGCTTTTTGCTTAACAACAAACAAACAAATCATAGTTTTTTATTGTGAATGAGAAACGAACCTCTAGTTAAACACTTTTTCGAAAAAAGTCTTAATCATGGAAGACAAAAAATTCACGGCAAATTAACAAATATCCTATTTTTTATTAAAATATTTAAAAATCTTATGTCTTAATATCCATAGTTTCTGCACTGTTTTAAAAAGTTCTTTGACGGGAAGTTCACGTTAATTATTAGGGCTGCTATTGAGTGTTCTCTCTACTATAACCTGTTCATAAACTGCTCATGTCTCGAGCAATTATGAGTTATACCTAGTGTACCGTTTGCAACTTATATTTTATAAAGTGTTAACTTTTATTTTGTAGAAATTAGTAAGCGCGAAATACCATTTGTAAATGCTACTGCTTCACGTAAGTTCATGCATTCTAAAATTTATTTTAAGGATTTTACTGTTTCGAAACGGATGATAATAAGAAGCTGAATTAATTAAGTACTCCGCGCTTTGAAGATGTGTATTCTGTATCCAACTCGTGGGAAAAAAAAAACAATGCTAGATTTATTTCTAGTTTTCACCATTTTACGACATAACCTGTTCTAGAACAAAAAGTTAAAACTTAAATTTTTGATAAGTCGTTGTCTTTCACGAATCTATAGCAATTACGAAACAATATATATATATATATATACACATATTTTAAAGCAGCTTTCTTAGAAAGATAACGGTTAAAGCTTCATGCCACATTTTTGGATATCTATTTAAAATCTCGATCGACAAACAGACTGCAACTGTCTGTTTGTTTGTTAAATTTTGCGCTAAGCTACTCGAGGACTATCTGCACTAGTAGTCTAATCATATAGGCTAGAGCGAAGACAGTTAGTCAACATCATCCACTGCCAATTCTTGGAACACTCTTGACCAACAAATAGTGGGATTAACCGTCACTTTATAGTGTCCCCACTACTGAACGGACAAACATGTTCTATGACGGGAATAGCTGTGATTTCTGTTAATTTTGTTGGCACGAGATTCATCAGTCGATTATTTATGTATTGCATTATTTGTGCTTCAATTTCTCGTGTTTTATCAACCAAACAGATTTCATAAAACAAAAATCGAAGTGTTTTATAACATTGTTTAAAACTGTGGAGATGTTTCAGTTACACCAGGATATCAGAGATGTACAAGATTTGACAGGTTACGTCATACAAAGTGTCAAACATTCAAATCATTACCAAAAGGACAATTTGATACCTTAAACAAGTTACATTTAATGATAATCCGATGCTAAGCAAATGTTTACCAATTCTACGTTTCGATTTTTTATTTACTCAACTTACAGAAAAGTTATGTATTCTGACGTACTCATCGAGAACTGTACACACGTATATGACGTACTCATCGAGAACTACACACAAATATGACGTACTCATCGAGAACTGTACACACGTATATGACGTACTCATCGAGAACTGTACACACGTATATGACGTACTCATCAAGAACTGTACACACAAATATATGCTGTTTGAAAGTAGAGCAATTTACCACATAAATTTGTTCATGTAAAAATTAGCAAACAGCTCTGTAATTAGACATGCCTATCTTGAAACACATAAATAACTTTCACATCACATGTGTCTTTGAAAGTGGACTTCCGGACTAAGATTTTTTTCAAGAATCGTTTCTTCTCATTCTCTAAAATAGGATAATTTGTAAGCCATGCGCTTTGTAGAACAAATATGGCCCTTCAGTCTAAATATATCTCCTCGGCATGTGCTCTGTGGAGCTACGTAAATATTTAGAAATGTTCGCCGATCGACCTGAACAAATAAAACTCACCTGATAAAAGCATACCGGTTAAAAGATACTTTTATGAAATAATAATAAAGAAATAGCTAAACAAATATAACATTGTAATTTCCTTTATATGTTGGGTTTTGATTGTAATCATAAAAAAAAATGTATGTATACGTTGATAACAGCTGAGTTAAAGCTATTCACTTTGTTTGCATATATTAAATATACTTAAGTATGTGTATGGAATTCTTTGTTTCTTATCTGATATGAAATCTGCCGTTTACTATTTTTGAAATTCTGCTGTATTTTCCTTCTTTCTTTTAGTTTTTCCTTTCTTCATTTTATATCTTTGATTTTTGTCCTTTTTCTCTTCAACATTTTGCTTGCTTATTTTCTTCATCTTTATGTATATATAGTTTAATGTATATATGTATATATGATATCTTACCAACAGATACCAAAATTTGTAACTTTTAAAAGCAATTATCAACGAAATTCTTTGGAAATTTGAGGTTTCTATAGCATTAGAATGTGATGTTAATTTTGTTACTCTTCTACTTTGTTATTTATCAGGAATCTTTCTCGTCGCTTAAATCCAAGGGACTACTAGAGGGCGCAGAGGGTTATGTTATTGTCTACTCAATCACCGACAAACGGAGCTTTGTAAAAGCACGGGAACTTGTAAAACTGATAAAAGAAGATTTCGGGGAAGGAGAACAAACACCAGTGGCTTTAATAGGGAACAAAGAAGATCTTGTCCACTACAGGTTTGTGGCTAGCAATATTTCACACATATTTTGTACAGGGTGTCTTGAAATTATGTTAACAAATTTATTAACATTTATTTCTGAATGTGCGAAACAATAAACCACACGACGTCCGTTCTTCGTGTGTATCGTTGCGCAACTGGCAACAAAATTAACACACTAAAGCATTAAATATTTTTCATGACTGTGATGACGTTTAGCAACAATTGAGAACTGATATTTCAATTCCCCGAACATATTTGCTGCCCCCCCCAGTGGCACAGCGGTATGTCTGCGGACTTACAACGCTAGAATCCGGGTTGCGATACCCGTGGTGGGCAGAGCACAGATAGCCCATTGTGTAGCTTTGTGCTTAATTACAAACAAACAAACATATTTGCTATAATCAAAAAATGGGAAGGTGGACTACAACGAGAAAAATTAGAAATTAGGTTACAACTCATTAAAACTAACCATACACATAATAGTGGATTAATTCATAGGCCGCCTGGGCCTTAGGTTCTGCCGGTAACCTAAGTAAACAAGTTATGGTTCATAAAGCTAGCAGAATAGAGGCAAGAGTGGGTGATTATTATTATTCCCAAATATTACTCGGGCCTAGGTCTCCACTAAACCTAAATCCGGCCCTACATACACAATACTCTTTAAACGGGATACCATTATGTAGGTTATAACCGAAGGAAGTGAACACCCACCCCTTCTATATAGATCTTGCCTAAAACAGGTATCACTATCATTGAAAATAAAAGAAATGGTATTTTTTATTTAAAGGCATGATAGCTTGTAGTTCAATGTATACATGCATTACTTAACCAAATCTTTTACCTGATTAACAGAGCACAAATTACAGTATTTTTACATATAGACCTATTCCAGTATTTTAAAAAAGGCCCGTCATGGCCAGGTGGTTAGGGCGCTAAACTCGCAATCAGAGGGTCGCGGGTTCGAATCCCCGTCACACCAAACATGCTCGCCCTTTCAGCTGTGGGGGCGTTA